ATATTATCGTTTATCGCAATAAATTTTGAGGCAATTAATCGCCCAGCAAAATTTGTTATCGTGACAGGCCTACGTGGACCCTCACCAAAGCACCACTACCACAGCAGACAAGCTAGTGGATGAGGTGTTCAGCTGGTTTGGGGTACCTGAGGAACTACACAGTGACCAGGGGGGGAACTTTGAGGCTAAGGTGTTCCAGAAGGTGTGCAAATGAATGGGGATTAAGAAAACTCGCACAACTCCACTCCACCCACAAAGTGATGGGTTGGTAGAATGTTTCAACCGCACCCTGGCCACACAGCTCATCATTTTGACAGAGCAAAAACAACGTGACTGGGACCAGCAATTGCCCATGGTCCTGTTCTCATATCGGACTGCGGTTCAAGAACCCACCCAGTGCACCCCTGTGGCGCTGCTGTTTGGCCAGGAACTTCGGACACCGGTGGACTTAATCTTTGGACCACCCCCCGAGCCAGACATTGTTGCTGAGCCTGGTCTTGACTATTTTTATAAGTTGGTGTAGAGAATGTGTAATGTGCATGAGGTGGCTCAGCAGGCATTAATGGTGGCAGGAGTGCAGCAGAAGCGGGCCTACGACACGCAGCAGGGGTGAAAATTTTGCTGTTGTGACATCAGTTTGGGTCCACCGGAACCCACCCAGTGCACCCCTGTGGCGCTGCTGTTTGGCCGGGAACTTCGGACATCGGTGGACTTAATCTTTGGACCACCCCCCGAGCCAGACATTGTTGCTGAGCCTGGTCTTGACTATTTTTATAAGTTGGTGTAGAGAATGTGTGATGTGCATGAGGTGGCTCAGCAGGCATTAATGGTGGCAGGAGTGCAGCAGAAGCGGGCCTAAGACACGCAGCAGGGGTGAAAATTTTGCTGCTGTGACATCAGTTTGGGTCCACCGGCTGGTACGGAAGAAGGGGTTGTCTCCCAAGCTGATGAGTCACTGGGTTGGACCCGGCACTGTCTTAGAGCAACTCTCAGATGTAGTCTACTAAGTGAGGATGAACACTGGGCATAAAGCAGTGGTACTCCATCGAGATCGTTTAGTACCATATCAGCCACTGGTAAGAAAGGAAAGCCAGGAAGAGGGGACAAGTTCTGAAGACTCTCAGTCACCACTACCCACAAAAGCTAAACCCAGCCACTCTATAGCAGCCAGAGATGCACCAAGACAATGTGGGGCCAGACAGCACCGGATTTCAGGGCATCTGAAGGACTTTGTCATGGACRGATGGGTGGCCGGGACAGCCAACCCAGCTGGGGGCTGTGTAATGTCCCAGAATGACTGTGTTGGCCACAAAGCATGATGGGTAATTTTGTGGGGTTTTGTGTCCATGTAAATGTTACAATGTTGTCTTCAAAATGTTGTTAGATTTGATATTCTTGTCGAGTTCAATCTGATTACTGTGTTGGAGTTTAACTGTAAAAATTGCACCATGAGTGAAATAAGCTTCCTGGCTGTGTAAGGGGGAGGTATTTTCTGTTAAGGGGTGTGTTCAAGAGAATAATAAAATCTGACGTTGAAGAGACTTGATCCTGTCGTGTTTCCTGCTAGCAACAGTTGCTACAATATTTTACTCACCGAAACGTTTTTATTGTTTAAAACTTTTTTATTGTTTAAAAACTCCATCCTCCTTTTTTTTCCMCAAGAAAAATCTGGCTCCTCTGTCATGCAGGCCCTCATGGTGTTTCGTTTCAACAATAAGTCCTTTTCTATCACCACCATGAAGCTAACACTGAAAGTCCAGTCTGTTCTTTTCTGTATTTTTGTTACAAGTTTTAATTTCCTGTAACTCTGAGAATGTCCGCTTGGCATTTAGCTTGTAAGAAGCTACAGGAATCTAGTTTCCCGGTTCTGGATCGTCTGCTCTCTGATCGGCCAATCAAACTATGAGAAAATGTTGATGCTGTCTGAGGCCAGCTAGCAGGCTCTGGTGTCTTCATCTCAGCACCTGATTGGTCAAAGCAACAGTATCGCTGCCATGTGTTTTAACCTCCACGTGTCTTCACTGCTCGTTCTGAAGGCCTGAGGCAGATTTGTGGACCTTAGCAAAAGATGATAATCGAAATATTATTGGATAAAATCTAAATAAATACAAGCTGCTGGAAGCTGCGCAGCCAGGAGAAAAACTATGAAACGAAGAAAACAGATGTTTAAAAAATAATGTCCTTATAATAATATTAATAACTATTATAATAAATATAAAATATTTTATTATGTAGTGATTCTGATTGTGTTTAGGCCAGCAGAGAAGGCTTTGCTGGCCCTGACAGCACACCACTGCCAGGAGCATATCTAGTCTTCTTTGAAGGAGAACTGGGACAATGCCATCTGGGCCACAAGCCTTAAATGGGTTGAAGGAAATTTTGTGACTGATTAACTGTATTTAGATCCAGTCTTGTATTTCACACTTTGAGCAGTGATATAGTTTAAACAAAGAGAAGAGTCAGTGTTTCTTATCAATTTGTTCCTTCTGTCTATAAAATAAACAAAGTTGAATACATTTTAATGTCTGACGTAAAAGGTACCGCCCCCAGAGGTGTAACCAGGAAGTTAGATGTACATTTTAAGAAGTGGTTTTGTACTGCTATCTCTATGTGTTCTACTCCCAAGTGTTACATAGATAAACAGCAAGCCAAACTCCTTTTCGAGAGCCAGGAAGATGAGCGTGCTTGGTCCTTTATTTTCTTTGTACACAAAGGGTACAAGATGATGGCAATGAATTGGAGTGAAACTACAAAGACACAAAATGTACTCTTATATTTCCAAATTAACATCAGGTAAATAACAACTGTAGAACAACATTATCACATGAAATAATTCAATATCAGATTAGTTCTACCATTTCAACCGCCAATACAGCACCACAACATTCGAGTTGTGGCAGAGTAGGTTCAGGTTTGTGTGCAAGCTTTGCTTTCCCAAGAATGAAACCTACTTGACACTGGCCATCTGRTGTAACCACTTTGAGGTAAGCCACCACTCCTATGGCCCAGCTGGAGGCGTCTGAGAACAAGCACAACTCTGAGTATGTCGTAGAGGACAGAGAGTGTGCTGTGTTTGGACAAGGTAAGTGAAGGCTGCTTAGATCTTGTAGTCCCTCCTTCCAGGTTTTCCAGTCCTTTGACTTGTCTTCTGGGAGTTCCGTGTCCCTATCCTGAACAGTAGCAGAAAGCTAACGCTCGACCCTTAATGGTCACAGGAGTAACTAGCCCCAGTGGGTCGAAGATGCTATTAACAGTTGAAAGCACCCCACGGCGGGTGAATGGTTTCTTGTCAACTGTTACTCTGAATTTGAAAGTATCCAAATCTATGTTCCAACATAACCCAAGGCTTCTTTGCAGAGGGAGAGCTTTTTCACCAAGACACAAGTCCTTTAGGCCTGCAGCCAGGTCTCCTGGACTGAAAGTTTGCCTCACTGCAATGCTGTTTGAGGCAATCTTGTGCAGTTTAAAATTTAATTCATCTAGTGAAGCTTGAGAGCGCTTTGAGCTTCACGGGCCTCTGCTTCAGTCGGGAGGGAAATGAGCCCATCATCCACATAGAAATGTCTCTCAATGAAAAGGCGTGAGTCAGTTCCATACTTGTTTTCGCCTTCTTGGGCAGCCTTTCTAAGCCCATGAACAGCTGCTGCAGAAGGGCTGTTTCCAAACACATGTACTCATTGGCATGCGGTACTCTGTCACCTCCTTAGTCAGATCATTGTCCTTGTGCCAAAGAAACCTGAGATAATTTCTGTGGTCTTCTCTCACCAAGAAAGCACAGAACATTTGTTGGATGTCTGCCGTCAATGCAATAAGTTCTTTCCTGAACCGGATTAGTACCCCCAGCAAGTTGTTTAAATTTGGGCCTGTGAGTAGAACATTGTTTTTTTTTTATCTAAGTATTTTTTTTATTTTTTAACATAATACAAAACAAAAAAAACCCAACAAACTAACAAAAACACTAACACCCGAAATCCCACCCCTCCCACCCCTTCCTATAACGGATCTACTGAAACAACAAAAATTGATCTTGTATTAATACAATTGATATAATAAAATGTTTGTGTACAATGAAACATTATTTAACCTTTACACAAAGTTATCTGCCGAAATTTTTTCTACATAAGATATAAATGGCTGCCAAATGTCAAAAAAATTGTTTACAGATCTTCTAACAGTATATCTAATCTMCTCTAAATGAATGTAAGACATAACTTCTCTTAACCAATGACCATATACTGGAGGATGTGGATCCTTCCAACGAAGAACATTGGGCCTCATGCAAGAACCGTTCGTACGCACAGATTTGTTCTTAAATTGTGCGTATGAGTGATTTAGGAGAATTTGTGGCATTCACCAATGTTTTCGTATTCTAAGATTTTTTTCAGATACGAACAAAATTTACGAGTGGTCCAGACCTGTTGTATATTTTACGAACAGTCAGTCTGCTGTTATCCAGATGGCTTTCTTCATTGATAACCTTATATTTAGTTTAGTTTGAAGATATTTTGAGTTGAAAATAAATTACACTCCATAATTATGTTGGCAATAGGC